ATGCTTAAATAATATTAATATCTAATTTTAATATCTAACGATATAAAAATGCATAATATTTTTGATTGGAACATTAATTTTAACAATTAAAATAACATTGTTATGCGAAATAGGTAGGAAATATCTCAGTATATTTGATTTTATTCTTCGTGAGGATCGTAAAATTGCGTCTCACGATATTTATATGTTAAAATAATTCTTGTAATTTCGTGCACTTGTAATTTTTGACGTTTATACGCGCTATAATTACACGCCTCCATAAATTTGTTCGCGTCAAGAGAAAGACAGAAACAGAAGAGGACGAGATCTTCCCAGTTTTTTTTTTCCGTTGAGCTCGAAATCGGTGAATGACAGACAGTTAATCGGACCGACCGCTCCAGTTGGCGAAAACAAAAGCTGCAGGGCCCCATCTGCATGAAGGGCCTAGCGCTAAAAAAAAATAACAGCCCATCACAACGGTGATAAAACAATGATAAAACACATTCATTATTCTTCCCGAATATATCCGCGATGCATGGACGAGATAGGAAGCGGAAGTGACACGAAGATAGTCATTAGCGTTTTCGCGCCGAATTATTCCCATGCACGAACAATTTTACTACCGCGGATAATCACTTGAGAGAAAAATGAATTGTGGTTCTTGATATCATTTGTTTGAGTGATATTCACGGGTAAATACAGGATATCTGGTCAGTTTTGATAAAGCGCTCGTGTGTATATAGAGCGGACTAAACTGGGTCGAAAAGTCCTGTACCATTTTGCAATTTTGCAATAAATAGTTAACAAAGTACTAATTAAAAATCGAATTAAATTTTGGTCTTAAATAATTGTTTACAAACACTGTCAACTTTACAGAAACACAGCAAGAGAGACAAAAGTTTATTTTCTTTTCACAAAGTTCTGAGAATTTTTTCAGAATTTTTAAATACCGTATTTTTTCATGTTGATAAAAATGAGAAAATGCAGTACTAAAAAATTGATGAAAAATTCTGAAAAAATTCTTAGAATTCTATAAAAAGAAAATAAACAATTTTTATCTCTTGCAGTTTTTCTATAAAGTTGATAGTATTTGAGAAAAAAATTGTTAAAGACCAAAATTCAGCAATTTTTAATAATTAATATCTCGTTAATTATTGCGAAAATTGCAAAATGATAAAAGACTTTTCGTCTTAGTTTAGTCCGCTCTATCTACACACGAGCACTTTATCAAAACTTACTTAACAGACACTTTGTATAAGTAGATTTGACTTTTTAGACTGAAAATTTTCAATTTCTTGATTTTTAAATTTAAAAACTACTCAGTTCTGCACAATTGAAAAATTTGTGTTAAATTTTACATACATCACACGTCCGAAAAGATTATAAACGGTTATTACTAAATGTTAAAATCAATTTAATATAAAATATTGAAATAACTAATATCGCATTATAAAGATAAGATCTAAAGCAAAATTTAAAATCTCAAGTCTTGTTTATGGCGTTTCTTTACATAATTGATTTAGTCATATATATATATATATATATATATATATATATAAGTGTATATATATATATATATATGACTAAATCAATTATGTAAAGAAACGCCATAAACAAGACTTGAGATTTTAAATTTTGCTTTAGATCTTATCTTTATAATGCGATATTAGTTATTTCAATATTTTATATTAAATTGATTTTAACATTTAGTAATAACCGTTTATAATCTTTTCGGACGTGTGATGTATGTAAAATTTAACACAAATTAAATTAATATAATTCAGTTCTACGTCAAAAGTTCAACGTCATAAGAATTAATTTTAACATAAATATAAAATGTTTTTTACTACGTGTATATTTAAAAAAGATTTCAAAGCTTGGCATTATTTTAGAATTTTCATTTAAATTTACTTTTATAATTGACAAGTGAAAAATGATTGTTTAGAAATAAACTCAATTTGTCAGTCAACTTATTCCATTATCGAGAAATGAAAGGGAAGGGAGAAAAATGTGAGGAAAATCGATGTAAGAAAATGTCGTATGCAAAGAATTCGTTGGGAAGTAATTAAAAATTACGTAGCGTTCCTAGAAGATTATGGTTCGGCGAGAAAAATGGTGAATGTGAAGAACCGTCTTGGGAAGTGTCACCAGCACTTAACTTTTCTTTTCATGGCCGAGTTTGTTTCGTCTTTAAGGGGCCGAGCAAGTTTTCACGGCGATATAGCAGCGTACGGGAAACCCAAAGGATGTGAGAATCGTAATTGAGGGTCGATGCCCTTAGGGACTTCGAGGCCTCGTTCACTTCAAGCTTTTCCAACCTTGGCGCTTGAAATTACGCGATCCTTCGATTACGGAATACGTAAATTGCGACGTTAGAATTCCTATTTGCGTTCGGGGATCATTGCGCGTTTATACGCGCGGAACAAGTGCCTTCTGATTTTCTAGGGCAAACTCGTTCCGACGAAGAATTGATATTCCCGCTTCGCCAAAAGTATAATCCGATCTATTTTCCGTGGCATTTTCATTATTATGTTATTCTCATCGTAACGCGAGTGCCAAGGGTAATGTTTGCATATTAATAACTAAATATCCTCCCTCGTACAAACAAACTGTTATTCGTTAGACAAACATTTGCCAAACCCCAGGCAGGAATATATTTCTAACCGATTAATTCTGCATCGTCGATAAAATTTGTTAAAAACCGTATCACCGAGTGTGACGTCGCATCTCCAAAATATATTTTGAACAATATATCGCTTGTAAAATACACGTGTTGTAGTCTAAGTCAGTCGAAGAGGCAAAGGAGGCGTATTTGGATTGCTCTAATTACCGAAGCGGATTGGAATGAACTTAACGTGAGTCCGCTTGTACAAACGGAGAGTACGAGACAATACGGAAGTTCCAGGCGAATCTTCGCGTTTATATTCGTGATCAGGATCTTTCCTTAATCTGCGCTGTGCCTCAAGTGGTTTCGAGAATTGGTTCAAGTCCACTCCACTTAGCAAATACCCCATAAACTTCTGTTGGAGTTGGCAATTATATCGTTCCAAATTCAATCGCGTATCTCTTTCTCTCTCTCTCTCTCTCTCTCTCTCTCTCTCTCTCTCTTTCTCTCATTCCGATGTAAGACAATATAACGAATCTATAGTTAGCCACATTTAATCGTAAACTAATAATTTCACGATAAGTCTACTTGCAGAGACTAAAGAGAACGCGAGTTATCTTAGAATTTATTATACTCCTGAACTTTTAACGATCTGGTACTTTATGCGTCCCGGCCTTTGTTTTTATAGAATATATTTATTTATATCGCTTATGTTACGCACAGAATTTACTTGAAAATATAAATAGTGTGCACTTTATTCAAGAACACATAGAGCACAATATAGCTAACCATTTTATAGCGGTATTCCTTTAAATTGTAAGTTATAGGGCTTACAACTCAGCTTACGCTCTGAAAAACATAATTCAATTCACTTACTTAACTGGTCTAGACTAAAGAATGTAGCCACATTATCTTTACTGCCGGTACTGCGAAAAAAAGTGTTCCCATCAACGATTGCGAGAAACTTAATTCGACTATCATCGGTTCAAACAATGAACCATATTAAATTATATTCAAGAATTTTAATTAAGAACTTTAAGTACAACGTCTCTTACTATTTAGCCTATTTTTCTCTTTTTCGCCGATTTGAAATCAGCATGAAATTAAAATTTATTTAGCGACAAGAGTATAAATACTTTTTTAAATTAAAAGTAAAAAAAATTTATTTAGACTACTATTAATTATAATTTTCCGCAGCAAACAAGATTTTTAACGTTAAATATTTTGCTAATATTACGGTGACCACCAAGCTGGAAATCAGGGAAAATTCTTGGCTTTGAAATATCCTACGCAATTTTGGAATACAACTTAACAATAAAATGCAAGCAGTGTCAGCAACATCAATAATAGTAATTTATATTAATAATAATTATTTATATACTATGTTAAATTAATTTTTCAATAAAATATTTAACGGTTTCCAAATCAAGACGAAAAAAAATATAAAAATATTATTGAAAATCAAGAAAAATCATATAAAATTTTGTTTGGGAATCAGAAAGAAGTTATAGAATTTTAGGACGAGGAATTTGTGGCAACTCTGATATAGTATTTTTAAAGTTGGAAAAATTTAATTAGACGATTATTATTAATTATGATTTCTTGTAATCAAAGATATTTTATAACTGAACATTTTGCTAATTTGTTTGCTCGAGGGAATAACCACTTAATGTAATCGTGGAACAGAATCCTCGAAATCATTACAAAATTCATGTAATCCCTACGTATAATCCGATAATTACGCAAGAAATCATTATATAATATTAAATAAAATCATATATTTTACCAAATGAGACTTCATAAAAAATGAAAAAAATTATTTGTAATTATATGAAATCAAATAAAATCATGTAGTTTGTGGGACACACAATATTTCAGCTAGTGGTCACTCCCTCAGCATTTCCAAAGAGAGTTTATTAAAATGAACTCCATTTAAAATAGTTAACTGAGCGAGATATTTGCATTTTTGAAAAACAAATTATTTTTTTAAAACGAAGCTATTTACGTTTCTATTCTTGTTAAAGAGAGACCATATCTGTTTTCGACACGCGCCATCGTCACGTACGCCAAATGTACGCCCATTACCGAACGCAACCTGTTTGATATTCAATTTCCGTTCGGAATTTTATCTCCACGAAAATCGGAGCAGTTGTATCAGGTCGAATTAAAGTGTCATGATCCACGAGCGCGGCGCGATCGCGGAATAGGAAAAGGCGGGTGACGTCACGTGCGTTCCCTCGGCGGTCGCACGCGCGGGAGGGGTATACCACTGGAGGGGGTAACTCGGCTGCGGGCAGGCCATGCCGAAGACTCGTTCCGACGCGGGTGGTGGGGTGTAAGAGGGGTCCAGGCATGGAGAGGGCGCAGTACCGCGCTATCCTCCGTATCGTTGACACGTCGAGCGGAAAAGAGAGATCGAGGGAAAGAAAAATAAAGAGAGAGAGAGAGAGAGAGAGAGAGAGACGATCGCGCGATCTCGCGCTCGCAATCGACACTCCGTGTAATTATCGTGCGCGAATAAATTAATCTTCAGTTCGATTACGGTGTCCGTCCGTGGAGAACTTCCGGTCCGCGAACGTTTTGAAGCGGCCTCGTGAAACGCGGATAATTAGTGGCGCGGTTGACTCCTCGTTGACTTCTCTATATTTTCGATGATCCATCGGTGATCGATCATACGACGATAGATCATCCGAAGGATCATCCGCGTGGTGAACGTTGATCCGCGAGTGATTTTTGGTGAAATTATCTCGTGTGCCTATCCCGAGGGAGCAGCTACGAGGGACGATGCTGGCATTTCTGTTCGCCGCGGCGCTCGCCGTCGCGAAAATCCACGCTAGTCAGGTGACCATGGACGCCAAGATACGTGACGACTCCGACTTGTCCCAGGTAAAGTGTCTCACACCGGTTGTGCGTCCTTCCTAGACGTCGCGTCGATTGAATCGACGCGTCAATCGACGCGATGCGATGCGATGCGATGCGACGCGACGACGTCACGTCGCGAATATGCGCTACGAATTGCGTGTCCTTGAACCGTCACGCAGGAACGACCGCGCGCGCGAGAGTTGCGTTTAAATGAACGAACGTGCACAATAATACCGAGTGCGGCCCGACGGGAAATTTCAATGCAGCGAACGCTCGTTGCAACCATACGATGATTGTGAAACGTGCTCCATGGTATCATGAAATACAACCGATTGCCTGTCGTTAAGAATCCTGCAGCAAAGTGTGTAATGCGTGACTTGTGTGTTATTTAATTTTCCGTGTAAAAGTGAAAAAATTAATAAACGTCGAAAAAATCCAATGTAGATATTGGTGCACAATTTGAATTTATTACAGGTAGTAATTGTAATGCGTCTTAAATTTAAATTCAACGCACCAATATTTTTGCTTCGTTGGTTCTTTTTGACGTTTTTTTAATCTTTTTACTATTAGATTTACTCTTAGAGCCGTCATATTTGTACGTTTTATTTACTTTTTTCGTGTAAAAGTAACATATACTGCACAGAAAGAACGATTTTATTTAAATATCTAAAAATTGAGGATGCTTGTTTTATATTTATCGCGCTGGAAAGGTTTTGTAATCTTTTGAGAGAAGAGAAGAAAGAGAATATTCTCTCGTCATAAAGAATAAAAAATTAAAAGCTCATGGCTATTAAGATTATTGTGATTATTTGTGCATTGTTATTCTTCTTAAAGTTGCAGTCACTGTAAATGTTTGACTAAATAATCTTTACACGGAAAGAACAATTTTGCTCAAGTATTTAAAAATTTAAGTAGATACAGATCTGAAAATAATTTTATTGTATGCCATCAAAATAATTAGAGAGAAAATTCAAACATGATAAGCAATGCTGCAAAAAATTTTGACATTGTTCCAATCAGATTGTTTTATTTTTTTAATTTCTTTTTTTATGTAAAAATATACTAAAAAAATATTTAGATACAAAGCTAAATTTATAATCTCAAATTATACCCAATTTGAATTATTTTTATTTTTAATTATTTTTAAGTCGCCACTCTGTTTCTAATATATTGTTAATAAAACAATATATGAATTCAAATTTAAGAATATTTTGAGTTAAATTGTTTAATTCAAATCAAAGATATTATTAAATTTGAGAAAGAGAGAGAAAGAGAGGAAGAGAAACTCAAATTTAATTCATTATTTTCTAACAAATACTTAATATAGATGTTATTTACTTCGAAACCATAGAATGGATCGATTTTTACTTCGATACACATCAAGTTGTTATTAAAAATAACAAAATATTTGACTCAAGAGACTGTCATTGTCTCATTGATATCTAACAATGTACTTCAACAAAACCGTTTCTTTCGTGCATATAAAAATAGATTTACATAATTAAATATGTTAATTAAATAATATAGTTCTTTTTATATGGAAAATTAAATTACACACATAAAATTATTACGCATTTTGATTTGCAGTATTGAGAGGATCGTTTACGATAACTAATTATAAGTCTTCTTGATTTTCCCACTTGGCGTTTTTGCTTTTTTTTCACGCTACGTACTATTTCTGTCGCAAATGTAATACTAAAAATGCGACGAAAGCAAAAAGTTTTTGCGTGAGTCATTGAATTAAACTAACAATGTGATCGACGTTTAATACAATGGCGTTGATGATTTTTCTAGCGAGATAAAAAGCGTTCATAAATGTTACTGTCAAAATCGTCGGGAATGTCAGGTATGGTGATATATTTTTTCGACATTCTCTCTGCATATATCAAATTTTAATTTTAACGATGAATAAAATAACGATGCGAATACAATAAGTCTTTAAAAAAGGATAAAAGTTTAAAAAGACCGAATAAGTTATTTTACTACTGAAATAGCATGGGAAGATGAAATCCGTATATATCTGAATTCGTTTATCGCTATTTTTTTTATATTCTTGCAACTTATATGTTATAAATATTTTCAAAATTTTACGCCAACTTTATTATTAGAACTGTCGCTTGCACAATTTTTTAGAGAGCTGTAAAAAAATCGATTATGTTTTCGAGTGACACTCGTGTCATACGTCACGTCGCTCGATTTTTTTTCAGCATCAGATTCATGGTTCGACATGATCGGTGGACCTGCCCACTCAGCGATACTTGTTCACTTCAACGTCATTTAAACCTTCCATATCTAACATGAAGTCAGCGATGATTGCAAATCCAATTTTTTTTGTATCAAAGTGGCTAAATCTGTTTGTTTCGCCAATTTTCCATGTTTGTCTCTTATTTATATATATTTGATTTTATTCATTAATCAATGCAAATTTATTATTCATTAATTAATTCATTAATTATGTCGAGTATTATTGTAATAGTAAATTGAGAAAATTCAGTAACAGTTTAAATTGAGTAATAATAAATTAAAAACACGGTCTCCAAGGGATAAACAGTTAACCAAAATTGTATATACCAATGTTTATTAATGCCTAGTAATGCCCAAGTAATACTCAAATTTTATGCCCATTAATGCCCTAGTAATGCATAATTAATTATTATAATACACAATTCTCCAAGTCCAGTAATGCCCAGTAATGCCCCAAATTTGTACACCGTAATGCCCTCAGCGGTTTGTCTCATTTTGACACGGATGATTTGAGAAAAGGAAAATGAAAGTCGGAAAAGATTCATAATATTTTCCACTGGAGAAATTAATGCAATTAGTGGCGCGCACTGAATGCAATTGAATTGTAAATTGACATATTCACATATTTTTCGGTATTAATAAATAATTTAATTTAACCCTTTTAATTCTTCATTATATTTTTCATTGTCAGGAGAACTTCATAATCTTAGAAAGAATAAGTTATTTGTTAACTGAAAATATGTAAGCCGATTTACACTTAATTGCATCAGTGTTAAATTTGTATTAGGTGTTGGAATTAATTCGTAGCGTTTTACAAGTGATGGGAAGTACTTTCATTAATGTATTTTTTAATGCTCATGTGAAATAAATAACATTCTTTCATTAAAAAACGCTACGAATTAATTCCAACACCTAATATTTTCAGTCGAAAATGCTATCAGAGTATTGAAAACACGGAAGGATGAAGAAATAAACTCAACTCATCTTGATAAGAACTCATCTCATCTTGGACAATTTCGTACTCTCGCGGACAATCGAAAGTTTGAGAATATACCGAATGGAGTTTCGTGTTTTCTTCCTGTGCGTTCGAAATTTCGGAACGATTTGCGTGGGTGGTCGGTGCATGGCATCTCGCCCAGGTGGTAAACCGATCGCCGAGTTCAACGATGTATGCAGTCGTGAGAACTTTTCTAGGTGGTAACGGGAGGGAAGGGAGGGCAGAAAAGTTCGTAAATCGGGTGTGCGAGGTGTTTCTAACTCGGCTGAATAATGTATGAAACCGGCGGTTATTTACTTCATTAATTTCTTCCACGTGGCCGTAATTAAATTGCGCGAACGGAAAGTTGCGAAACGGCGCCTAACTCTCATTAGCCTACATTTTTTTTCTATACCTATCCGGAATTCATGGCGATCGCAAAGTCGCGCGTTGCCATTCGTCGAACTTCTCTTATGAACTGATAAACTTTCGCACAACAAGAATGGCAATATCACGATCTTTTGATCCGGTATTTTGAATTTCGATTATCGGTGTTGTAAACACGCGTAAAAATTTCATGCGCGACACGTCTGGGCACTTAATAAATTGCGGATAATAGAGCGAGTAAAAGCGAATTACCGGAGCGAATGTCGGCGTTGCTGCACTGCGCATTTTTTTACAGTGTCATTAATTAACACGGTAATCCAATATCGTCGTGTAAATTTAGCCGTAAACGTCGTGACAGTGCGGAAAGCCGTTACGATTTAACGATCCACGCAAAATAAGAACGAACGCATTGTCCTTGTTTCATTCTCTCGTAATTCGATTGTAAACGCGAGCTGCGGACAAACAGCTTCCACTGCTGCCGCGGATTTATCTCTATGAATCATCGTGATGTGAATCATTAGAATGAACTATTGTATTTAGAAACTATTATTTATATAGAGGCTTATTTTTCCTCATGTAGAATGAAAAGTGTAGAAGAGGAAATGAGTTATTTTGTCGAAACGAAATTAATTTAATGTTAACTCTAATCGGTATTCAGTTCGAAATTTCCTTAACTGGAATTCTTTAGATTAATATTAACTAATGTTAATAATTTTTAATAATTCTTGTTTAAAGTTAACGTAATTAAATGATTTCTTCTTCCACTTAGAAGATCAAAATCCAAGGATTGTGACTTAAAATTATGTGAGGTTGTTAAATCATTTGTTGTAAACAATTTTCCACAACGTAATTGAAGATGTTTGAGTTTACTGGACTGATTAGAGTTAAAAAATTTTATATGCATTGCTCTCACGATACGCGGTTTCAGCTGAATAACCTTTTTAGAAGGTTGTAAAAATATACATTGTGGAGTTACTTTGCACGTGGTATATCTATCCACATGCTGGCTCTTTCTCATTACTTACTTCGCCCCCGCTTAGGCGAGGGAACCATACAATCCGATGCGACGTCTGCGTCATGAAGTACTCTCACACGCGTGGGACATATGCACGCACACGCGTGCATGTACCGTGAATGCGTCATGGCAGAAGCGGCAGCATGGCTTCTCTCTTTCCGGTCAATGACGTGATTTCAGTTAGATAGAGCTTTGAACTTTTTTTATCTACCAGCACAGTCCCTAAGCGGTTCCCAGAATTTTTAGTCGTTTTCTGTCTAGTCGCAGGCAAATCTTAATCATCTTTTGTCCTCGAGTCTAATCAGCATGTTTTAGTCGATTAAACCACTCGGCGAAGCGTGCAGAAATATTTTCAGTTACTTTAAGTAGGTAAGTTGAATCACCATAGTACTTCAGTATACT